GGGGGTTATGTTGGGGTGTTTTTTTTCGGTTGGTTGGTTTGTTTTGGGTTGGGGTTTCTTTTCTTTTCTTGTTTTTTTTTTGTTTTTTTTTGGGGGGGGGTGCAAGAACAGTCGGGAAACAGGGAAAAAACGTTGTCTTTCTCTGTTGGTCAACCACTCCGTTATACAACTAAAAGCTGATAAAAAAAATAGCGATAAACAATAACATTTGACGTCCGCCTTATGAGGTAAGTCATTAGCAAGTTTTGTTCTTAAGCAAGACGTAAGGCATTTTGCTATAAATGGGTGTGTGCGAAAGGGTAGAGACAAGCAGTGGTTAGGTGTTTGGTTTTTTTCAAAATTTCTTTCTGTAGTGGAACACAGTTCTAATACTGTCTTTTTTTACCTCTTTTATATGAATGAAGTGTTGTGAATGAAGTGTTGTGAAGGCGTAGCGTAAGACGATGCTCTATAGATTTATTTAATCAGCTTTCCAACACATCAGCAGCCCCAACATTCCCTTTCATTAGAATACAAAATGTTGGAAATGGTGAACCTTGATTTGACACAAAAGCAAAAGGAGAGAAAAGGAAAGAAAATGTATGTATTTATTTCTCCACTTCAAATGGCAATAACAAAGACAACGACATTGTAAGTGTAAGTATGTGTGTGTATGCGGTTGTTGTTTTTTTTGTGTGTGTACGTATACATAAATGCATGTGTGATAGGTTCATAGCCTTTGTGTGTATGAGAGAGACAGGAAGAGAGAGAGAGAGAGAGAGAGAGAGAGAGAGAGAGAGAGAGAGAGAGAGAAAGAGAGAGAGAGAGGGACAAGGGAGGGGGAGGGGGCGGGCAAGACAGATAGAAATAGACAGAGAGAGAAACAGGTGTTTGATTTTTAGTCTCTTCTATTCTGCAGTATGACTGGCTTTGTTTTCTCTCCCCAGTGCAAACCACAAGCAGGTTTCCCGTTCATGCGCGGCTCTTACCGCTGCCTCTGTCGACTAGGGTTCGAGTACTGGCACATGGATGGTAAATTCTGGTTTGAAGGTTCTCTCATAGAGCTGGAATACGAGAAGAAACGATTAGGAATTTTCAGCAGGTAAAATATGACAGCTAAATGGGAACAGTAGTAGTAGTAGCAGTAGCAGCAG